TTTGCTTGATTATGTCTTTTTAATTCTATCTAAAATGGGGGTCATAATTGCAGGGCACGTTCCTTACAGGGTTGGGAGACTTTCAGAGGGTGTGCTGGGAAAGTTGAATTTTACTGTTATTTTTCAGTCAGGTTACTCATTATCTGGCACCTGGAGGTGTGCTGTAGAAAGAGACATGATTGGCAGACACCCACAGGACTCCTCAGACGCTGGGCTTTCCCTGTTTCTATGGAGGGATTGCGGTTGAGAGTCAGGACTTTTCCAAAGAGCTTTCGCCAGTATGCGGATGGAGGAACCTGCTTCCTTCTCAAAAATCGCACAGCCCTATGAAGGAAGTCTGCTCTCAGAGATGATAATGTAACTGTGGAGACTGGGCGTCTAGTTCTTAGCCCAGAAGACAAAACCTTAGCTGTCTGTCCTAGCAGCCAGTGTTCAGGATCCACTGATAATTGAAATGGAGCTACTAGTCTGCATTTTCTCTCAAGTCATGTATATTAGGTGAAATCGAGGACAAAATTAACTCCTTTTAGGTGTATAATTCTACCTCTGAGTTACGCCCCCAGCCCTGGCAATTCTCCAAGTGTAGACAATGTGTTAGGTTGTGTAACTAGCAGCATAGTCAAGGTATAATATTTTCATCAACCCAAAACTTTCTTACCCCTACCTTCTCATACCAATATTGTCTGTTTTGTCTTTTTCACTGTGGAAAGTTTTAAAAAAAGCCAGAAATTTGCCAGAAAGCATTAATGTCATGTCCCATACTTGTGAGTTGTGAACTCCTCACAGACTCTGGCTTTAGTCACTGAGCCTGAATCCCTTCACTTATTACCGGTTCAGGAAAAGTCTATTGAGCCCTTTGCTGGTGCCAGCCATGAGCCTGGACCGTGATGGATGACAGGAAGTGTTGATGGCAGTTCTCAGCTCTCAGGGGATACTGTGCACGCAGGTAAAAGGTGACATAAAGACGCACGGGGTTAAGAAGCAGCAGAGGCAGGAAATCAAGATGTACTGCCAGGTCATACAGTTTGGGCGGAGCTCCAGCTACAGGGTATGAAAGGTGCAGGTGAGTCTGTGGGTCAGCCTCAGGAAGGGCTCTAGAAAATAGGGCCATCTGAGCAGTACCCAAACTCAGCTGCTGTCTCCCCGAGCCCTGCCTTATTGAAGTCCTTGGTTTTCCAGCTGTGGAAAAACAAAACAAAAAACAACAACAACAACAACAACAACAACAACAACAACAAAAACCCCTTGACTTCCTCCTTTGATCTCCCTCTGGATTTCATCCCCTTCTTTTTCCCTTACAGTCTTTCTCTGCCTTCCTCCCTAGATGGCTATATGCTGGCCTCCAGCCCTCCAGACTTCTCACAAACCTATTCCTCGTCTGTCGCCATAGCACCCTCTCTGCCAGGACCAGAGAGCAGTGTGTGTGCCAAGCAGGTGCTCCCCTAGTCTGGGTTGGTTGAATAACTAAGCTGGGCATTGTGAGGAAAAGAACAGAGAGAAAGGACTCCTGGGCAGAACAAAGGGACAGATGCAAAAGATACCTGAGCTGCGCCGTTGTTTACAGTCACAGCCAGCTTCCTGTCGCTGTGAGGAGTGACAGCACAAAGGAAGAAGGGGCTTTGGAGCATTGAAATTAAAGAGGCCTTGGCTGAAGTAAAGTTTCAATGGAAATGGCGTCTATTTCCTTTGCCCCTTCTGCTTCATGCATGTACTGTACATGGATGCGTGCATGTGCACGCACACACATACATACATACACACACACACACACACACACACACACACACACACACACACACACACACCTGCTTGTTTTTTTTTTCTGTTGGTTTTTTTTTTTTTTTTTTTTTTATCATCACCCAGCTATTTTGTAGGACTTTGAGTAGGGTAAAGCTTTGTCTTCTTGCCATTTTCTCTGTTTCCCTTTCATTGGCTTTGCTTGGGAGAAGAGGCAAAGGAAACCACAGAGAATGCAGTGTCAGCACCCGGAGTCTAGGGAACGGCTCAGCTGATGTCCTCACACTCAAAATGGGATGCTCCGAAGTAGGAAATAAGACCTTAGGTCTCTGCCTCCATGTGTGGCTTGTCTTTCTTCTCTTTAATTTTTTTTTTTGCTGCCAGAGAAACCCAGACAGTATCCAGATTCCCTCCCCTTCTGTGTGCTCTCTCATCACACCCAGGTCCCCTTTCCTAACCTCCCTTTATTAAAGATCCGATGAATTCTCAGCACCACTTTCCCTGAGTAGAAACCAGATAATACCCTCATTGTGCTCCTAAAGCAATTAAAACAGAGACTTGCTTAAAAATACATCAGCCAAGGGCTGGAGAGATGTTCTTCCAGAGGACCTCAGTTCAAGTCTCAGCCTCACTCTAGGAGGTTCACAACTCAGCCCCAGGGATCTGATACTTTCTTCTGGCATCTGCAGACACTCACACACATGCCACATGTGCATGTGCATGCACACATACACACACACACATACACGTGAACACACACGCACATAGCAAACACACGCACGTACAAATGCTCACACGTGTGCATGTGTGTCTGTGACAGGGTCTCACTATGTATCCCTGACTAGCCTGTAACTCACTCTATAGACCAGCTGGCCTAGAACTCAGAGATCTTCTTGTGTCTGCCTCTCAAGTGCTGGGATTAGAGGTGTGCACCACCATGCCCAGAAGATGTAAATGTTTTTTAAAAAAAATACTGGGGCTGGAGATATGGCTCAGTGGTTAAAAGTTTGTCCTGCTCTTGCAGAGGACCTGAGTTCAGTTCCCAGGACTCACAAATGCCTGTAATTCAAGCTCCAATGGAAACCAAAGCCTGTGGCCTCTGAGGGCTCTTACACTCACATGCACACATACACATTTAATAATAAAATATATCTTGAAAAGTGTGTTCAAAGTTATAAATAATTTGTCAGCTGAAGAGATACTTTGAGTGGCTAAAACCAGAGCTGTTGACAGTAGATAACTTTCAGAGAGACTGGAATGTGGCCTCTTCTGGTAAAAACAAAACATTTTGCCTTTGCAGAGGAATGAGAAAGGGAGAGGAACAGAGCACTGTGCAGAACCACACTGTGAGTTGTGGATAAGCCACTCTGCCTCTCGGTGACCAAGGTTCCTTCGTCTGTATCAGGTTACTGGTGCTTCAGTGTGATGATTGAAACATTAAAATAACTTCCAAGTACATAAGCACCATGTTGGTTATGGTAGCCTTGTGCTTTGAGGACCTTAGGAAAATGTGTTAGCACACTACTTTTTTCCCCTTTATTAATTGGAGCCAATTTTCAGGGACATTTAATCCAATTAGCTGCTGACACAGTATACAGTCAATTCCATTTGAAGTTAGAACATAGCATCAGAGACACTGCAGTTAAAGACATAGTGGACTCTCATTATTTACCTAGAAGAATAGTCAAAATAAAAATGGTAACACCACCCAAATCCTGGCAAGGATGAGGAGAAATTAGATCACTCTGACACTGCTGATGAGAATGTAAAATATGCGCCCGCCCCGGGAAACAGTTTGGCTGATTTTTGTGCAGCTAAACGTGGAATTTCCGTATGAGCCAGCAATTAGACGCTTGGAAGTTTATCCCAGAGAAATGGAAACATGTTTGTGGAAAACTTGAACACAAATGTTCACAGCAATCTTGTCTGTGCTAGGCAAAGACTGGTGTCAGCCCAAGCATCCTTCAATGGGTGGATAGCTAAACTGCTGGAATATGTTCTCCAATAGTTTACAGTAGTTGTACAGCAGGATGTGTACACCAGCAACAGAGAACTGACTGTGGGTACACGTAGCTTGGTGTCTTGCTGGGGAATTTTGCTAAGTGGAAAAAGTCAACCTCCATGGTTTGCAGTATGAATCTAATTTATTATTGTCCCCAAATAAAAATTTCAGTTTTAGTTTTTTGACCTTATTCTTTAATTATATATACATAAATATAACTCGATGATTCCATTTATTGTTGCTCATGTGCGTATGTTTCTAGGGGTGACCACTTGGTATTGGTAACCAGTTAGAGGAGAAGACTAGTCATTAATTACCTAGAGGTGAGGCCACGTGAGATGTCCCCCACGTCAGCTGGTATTGTCACGTTCAGTTCTTGTTTAGACAACTATATGGTGGAGATTTCATCGGTACATCTTCCTTGTCTTATCTAGAAGAAACTATCTCACAGTAGACTCCCTGGTCCTCTAGCTCTTACAGTCTCTCTGCCTTCTCTTCTGTGATGCCCCCTGAGCCTTAGCAGAGGGAGTGTGTTGTCGATGTATCAGTTGAGTCTGGGTAACCCACAGTCATTTGTTTCCTTCACGAAAAGAAAGATTTTAGCTTAAAATATATGGAAGCAATTTCAGAGTATTTAATCCATCTTCTCAGTGTTTGGGCAGTTAATGCTATTAACATTTGCTAGACTCAGGGCACCATGTCATTGTTCTGATATTTTGGACAGTCAGACACATTCAGATCAGGAAAGGTATGAGAAGAACTTCCCCTTTCCATTCAGCCGGAAATGGCACAGTGGGTAGATTTTTGTGTTTTTTCCTTCTTGTGAAGGTTTGACAATTCTGTCTGGACCACAGAATCCTGAAAATAAACACAGCACTGTCTTGCAGAGCAAGAGCAGAAAACAGTACCAGGTTGGGTTTAGAGAGTTAGGATATCTGGCCTGAGAGTCGTTTGGTCAAGATGCAGCCTGAGGTCTTGGCCATGATCAGGTTGAGTTTGAGACTCAATCCACTGTCACCAGGGTGTACCATTCGCAGGCCTTCGGGGGGATACATCTGGGCCAACTCATTGCAGGCTACTTCTCTGAGACATTAACTCAGAACTCAAGTTTGGTTTTCAGCTTCCTGGCTGGTGACGTGGGGAGGCCAGGAATTGAACCCTAGTTGGCAGCCTGCCTGAGCTGAGGAGAGTTTTCTGTTTGAGAGTGGGTAATCCTGAAGTCTAGAGACTCTGAGGGATGATGGTCTCCTGTCCTTTGAAGTTGTAGGACAATCCCATCTGGACAGCAGCATTGAAGATCAAGAGATTGTCACTAACCCGCCAGACATTTGCCAAGTTGTGGAAGTGACCACCGAGAGCGACGACCAGCCAGTCAGCATGAGCGAGCTCTACCCTCTACAGATTTCTCCTGTGTCTTCCTACGCAGGTAAGGGGAGCAGGAGGGTGACGTGGAGACTGAATAGGAAGCAGACCGCCACGTCTAGCATCGCCCCGTTTCACCCCACCACAAGACATCTCTGTTCTGTACTAGAAATTATCATTGTGGAATTATTCCTACTCTTACGTTCTTGACAACATCTTGGACACCTCTGTCAGGAGAGGTATTTATGGCATTCCTTTTCTTAACGGCCCATGATATGGTTCATTGAGGACTACAAATAACATTTCCTGGGGTAAGTGCTTCATAGTCATCATGAACATACAACAAATGATACAGTGACTGAGACCTGGCCAAGACTCAAAAAGGTCTGGCACGAAGGAGTTGAAATTCACTTGTAAGGTGCTTGCCTAAGTTAACAGACTTTGGGGTCAGAGTGGTTTGATGGCATCTAGATTTTATTAAGGTGGATAGGGCTTTAGAAATCATCTTTTCTAGAGTCTCTGTTTGTGGAAGTGAAAGAATTTTCTCAAGGTCCCCTGGCCAATAAGTGTCCTGGCCAGGAGTTGAACTCAGCCTTCAGCTTCGAGGTCATTGCTAGATCTAATCCATTTCACTAGCTTTACTTGCCCTGTCCATATATTTCCTCCCTTCCTCCCTCCCTCCCTCCCTCTCTCCCTCCCTCCCTCCCTCTCTCCCTCCCTCCCTCCCTCTCTCCCTCCCCTCCTTCCTTCCTTGTTATATAGTGCTCCTTGTAGCTGAACTGGGCAACTGAGGCCATTTCTACTCCTGGGGACTGATCCCATCGTTGCAGAAATTAGTCGAGGCAGAATTACAGGATTAGACACAGACTGAGAAAGTGAAGGCTCCTTCTGTCACCAGAATTACGTCATTTTACGCTGCCTTCCTGACCATCTCCATTTGAGCTTTTAGAACTCAATCACAACTAGGAAACCTTAATTCTGAGTCAGTGTTCTTGCTTGCAACTATTAAAAAACAAAACAAAACAAACAAACAAAAAAACCCCAGAGGCCCAGGCTTGGGAAAGGCCAGTCAGCTCTAGCAAAGGGATCACCCTCTCCCCAGGCCTGTTTGCATGCTTTGGAGGCCACACAGGGACAGCCCAGACTTGTGTGACAGAGTTCGTCCAAACATCAGTTGCTTGTAAATTGTCAGCAAATCAATTAACCTCATATTTCCCAGCTGCCAGCTTTCTTTTTGAATTTATGTTTTGTGGTGGTAAAATACATATCTCACGAACATGCCATTTGCTAAGTGTCCAGTTGAATGGCTTTGAGTGTGTTCGTGGTGTTACAACCTTCACTGCCCCCTACCTCCAGAAGTCTTTCATTTTCTAAAACTAAAATGATGCACCCATTAAATATGAACCCCTCTACCCGAATCTGGAGGACCAATAGTCTATTTTCTGTCTACTCCGTGGGCTCTTGTGAGCGGAATCTTGCAGTCTCTACCCTTTTGGGAGTGGCTTATTTTACTTAGCGTACATCATAACTTGCTTTTGTGTTAGGAGTGTGAAAAGAACGTGAGAAAGAAGGTTTGTGACAGGAATCCTATAACCGGCCAAACAATTGGCCATCAGTCATTCATTCATCAGACATAGTTTGAACTCTTACATGTGTCCGTCTCGTTTTGTCTTTGCCAGGGCCCAATAACTCTATTGTTTGTTGTGTGTTTATTGTTCTCTGGGGATTATGCTAAATGCTTATAAGGGTTTGTATTGATTGACTTGCTTAATTATCAAGGGACTAAATGTTATTTTCTCCTCTTCCAAAATGAGGACTCTAAGGCTAATGTAAGTCTAGGAATGAGAAACTAGTAACAGATATATCCATGTGTAGATGTTCTTAGACACTCACCAGGTTGCTACACAGGGTCACATAGTCTCATTCGATTGTCAAAGGACCAACCAGAGGAGGTAGACCAAAATCTTTATGCAGAAACAATGGTAGCATTAAGCACTACAGTATTTTATTTTGCTTATATTTGCAGAGCTAAGGCTGAAGTCTTGGCTTTCTTCTAAGTCACCCAGCTGCTGTAGTTGTTAAACAGGGTGTCGGGTGTGAGGGGTGGAGCCTTAAAGCAGATGGGTCTACCTGTTTGAGGTTTTCTTGGGGATTTTGAAAAGACCGTCTTGCTGTTCTGTCAGCAGTGGTATTTTGCCTTAGCAGAGGCATCCTGAGAACAGCTGATATGTGGAGAAAAATGAAAATTTCCTTCCCCATTCTGGGACACTTGCATAGATTTCAAAGGAAGGGTCTTAGCTCCGGGGCAGGACAGATACAGCATGGATTTCTGTGAGAGCCCAGCTTTTCAACCTGGTATTTGGTTCATTCCATTGTTTTCATTGTCAGAATTCTCCAGAATCTCACAGAGGGAAGCTTATTGGATAGAGCCAAAATGTTTTGCTGCTGGTCCTTTCTAGACTTGAAGACATGTTACAAAGTTCTCTATTACTGACCATGGCTAGATCAAGTCTTCCAGGGTTTCTCTGTGTAGCTTTCAGACCCTGTCTTGGAACTCTCTTTATAAACTAGGCTGACCTCGAACTCACAGAGATTCACCTGCCTCTGCCTCCCAAGTGCTGAGATAAAAGGTGTGTGCCACCACCACCCAGCCTCACCTTTTGATTTTATGTTCATCAGTAGCATAGGCTGTTTGCTTATTTTCATAATAGAGATCCTTTGTGCAGACTGCACATTCAAATTTCAACCACCTTCATTCTCCTGCCCAGGAACCTGCTATTTGGAGGTTGTTGTTGAATAGTTTTTTCCTCTAAAGATCACTGATATATCATCCTAGGAATGTCACAGAACCACATTCAGCTTTGCAGCTCTGTCTTCTACTGTATTATTTAATTGTCAAGCTAAGAAGGAGCTGAGGCAGTGTCTTTGGGTGGAAGGAAGTGTTTGCATTGGATACTTTAAGCTGATAGAAAATTCTACTTTGTTTGATAATATTTTCAGAGTGGGGAAAGTATGTTTCCAAACCCGGGCTAAGGAAGCACTAAGGCATAGTCATTTTTTGTTGTTTGTTTACATAGTTATTTTTGCAAGGCTTCAGGGCATGATAAAACAAGCACTCCACCACTGGCCTGTATGGCCAAGCCCTCACTGTATTTTGATGTGGCTGTATGCCACATCTCCGTAGGATTTGACTAGAGGGTTGGTTTAGTAAAAGGAAACCATGATGGTAACTCAGAAGAAAGGAGGCGGAAACCAGGTCTGCGTAGGAAGCAGAATCAGTTGGTTATATACTCAAGAGAGCAGAGGTTGTGCAGGTAGCCAAGCATCGTTCTCCCGGAAACCATACATATGTTGTGAATGAGGCAAAGGTGTTTTGGCATGGAGACTAAGATTCGGATTTGAGCTGCTGAGTGATTGGTTACATCTTCTAGTGAATGTAATTGAGGAAATTATATGGAAAGAAATCAATGCTAATCGTATTTTGTTGAATGAGAGCCTTCCAGAAAACATATCAGCTATCACATAATACAATAATGTGTTCCATAAAATATATCTTCTTCTCCTTCTCCGTGATGTTCTCGAGGTGGTTTGGCAATATGTGTCCTCCAGGCAGATGTTAAAACCTGGGCTGAAGTGTCATGATGCCAGAACTGGCACTCAGGAAGAGCCCTTGATGTCATCGGATCCGGGTCCAAATCACTTTCTTCCCTCTTAGCTGCTTGTAGGAAAACGGGCCAGAAAGGTGAAATCATTTCTTCATGTACCTGCTACTACTCTGTAAATATTTCAGCTTCTTCGGGCCATGCTTGCAAAGCAGCTTCAATCTTTTTTTTTTTTTTTTTCATTCCGTTTGTATTGGAAGTCAGTTTGAGAAGGATCCAAACTAATAAAAGGGGGAAGTGACATAATGCACATTGACGTTTTGGCAGTCACGTTGATCTGGAAGCTGCAGCTGCAGGGAACTCATTTGTCATGTAAGGAGTGAGTCTGGAAATGGCTCTGGTGGAGGAACACCAAGAGAGCAGGAATGAGGACTGGGAGCCAGATATTGAGTAATAGTTCTAAAAACCGCCATTCATCTAAAAGTAAACTTTGGGATCCTCAGACGGGAGCCCCAGGCACCTGCATCTCCTCGGCTGAAGACTCTCGAGGCTGCTTTCTCTGTAAGAATCAGAATTATAAACCAGAGTGTTAGTCCATCTCACAGTGCTTTAAACATGTGAGGTAGTCAACTTTAAGAGACCAAAAGACATCATGGCTCACGGTTTCAGAGATTTCAATTCATAGCTACTTGGCTCCATTGCTTTGGGCCAAGTAATAGAACAGAACGGCATGGCCAGAAGCACTCGGTGGAGCTAAGCTGCTCAGACCATGGTGGCTATGAAGGGAAAGAAAGACCAGAAGAAGCTGGGGGTCCCAATGTCCCCAAACTCACCTCCTAGAGTTTCCAGCCCATCTCGGCATCACCGTCATCTGGGGACCAGGTCTTCAACACTTGAACCTTTGGGAGACAGTTAAGATCCAAACCCTTATGCCCCGTTCCTGAAGTGGAGAGGCTCCCTCCATCACTACATTGTTTAGATATGAGTCTCTCCAGCCAGCATTTGTGTCAGCCGAAAAAAACAAGGGCAGAGGACGTGTGCCGTCTCGGAGCCACAACTTTATTCCTCTAGTTGCATGCTGGGTATTTACAGGAAATGAACATTCTCATCCCCTACCAGGACTGTTCAAAGTCTTACCAAGGAGTTTAGCCTGGCATCTAACTTCCAAACCCTCCAACAACTGTGGCGTGAGCTTGTGGGATCCTAGGACCTTGATGTAGACAGCTCCTTTCTCTGAACCCTCGGCCTCCCAGCGCATGCCTGGTGGCTTTGTGTGCTTGCTTTTCTTCGAAGGGAAAAGGCACAGACGGATTTATGGGGAGTCATGAGGAGGAGAGGGGGCTTGATGCACGTGGAAGGAAGCGAAACTTTGGCTTCAGAGCACAAACAAAGCTAAGCATGAAAATAGAAAGGGGACCTTGAAGTTGTGCCAGCAGGAAGGCAGTCTCCATGCTCTGTTTGCGACTCTGGGATCCGAAGTACAGTTTTGTTTTCTTTCCTCTGCTGACTCAGTCCGAGACTTGGCAGGTTTCTCAACATCTCCATTTCTCGTTTTTCTTCTTGGGAGTGGCAGTCCTGCCTCCCCTGGAGGCTGAGTTCATGTGACTTTTGTGTTTGGAGGGCAGTTTCCTTTTCTGGTCTTCGCTTTCTTCTGCCTGAAAACATTCCTTGTGCCTATTGTGGGATTGTCTCCGTAGCCCAGACCACTGTCAGCTAAGACCTAGGCTTCCTCACGGCATCTGTGCCCCCTGTATGGGGCTGTTTGGGGGCAGAACATTCCGAGTTGGAGGAGCAAAAGATCCGATTTTTGGTCAGTCTGTGACCATCTCCCAGGCCTGTCTGAAGTCCCTGGAGAACAGTGGCTGAGAGTCATGCAAAAAAGCATTCCTGGGTGAGACTTGTGGATCTCACATGCTGGCTGTCTGTCTAAGGAATGCACTGGGGTACAGTCTGTCCATTTGCTCTTTCACTTGATCCATGTGGGAAGACCAGTCTCTGGTCCGTGATCGGAATGATGCAGAGGGCTCTGGATGGCCTGGAGCCATTGGATCTTAACTCTGCTGTCGGGTAGGCAGGCATGCAGCTAGAAGCTAATCTCCCTCAGTAGTGGCAGGGTGGGTGAGGGTCGAAAGCTCTAGAGGACATATTGCCACATGATGGCAGCTGCTTTCTGACTTAGGATCGTTGTAAGATGAACAGACTGTATACAAAGGCTCTAGCCGAGCCTTGCTCTAGTTCTCTAAATGCCCAGCTCTTATCAGTCAAATAAATGATCCAGACAAAATGACCTATGAGCATCTGTATTAGATGCTCTACTCTCCATGCGTTAATTTTGCAGTGGTGGTGAACAGTGAAAAAACTGTTCGGTGTCATTTTTTAATTTTGAAAGCCTAACGTACGGATGATGTGTAATCAGCAGTTACTAAATTTTACTCTGCTGTGTCCAGCCCTATGTGTAAATTTAGTGGTGAACACCAATGATATTGCAGGCACTGTGTGTCAGCTCCGTGCTGGGCCAAACCCCCAAACACTCTCTCACTTACTCAGCATGGAATCCTCTTTGGAAAGTGGTGGGTAACTGTAGCTCACTGCGGTTAAGAACTTTTCTCTGTGTCTCACAGCCCGCAGGTCCAATCAGGGTTATAATGGACCGGCTATTGCCCTGTCGCAGTATGACCAGAAATGTCATGGCTTAACACAATACACAGTTACTATCTCACAGTCTCTGTGGGGTGGGAGTCCAGGTGTGGCTTAGCTGGATTCTTGGCAGCAGAGCCTTGCTAACCAGTCAGTCCTCAGGTGTTGGCTCATCTGGGCGACAACTGTTCAGCCACTGGCTCACACAGCATCGGGCAGAATTGAATTCCTTGCAAAGTGTTGAACAGAGAGATCCGCAGTTTCTCGCGAGCTTTTACCTAGAAGCCGCCCTTAGCTTAAATGTGCCATGTGGGCCTCCCAGACACAGCCAGCAAACAAAAGACGGGTTCAATCTTATTTGATGGCATGCTCTTGCTCATGTTTATGTCTTTACTGTGTTCTGTTGGTTAAAAGCAAGTCACAGTTTCTGCCCACACTGAAGGGGATGGGCCCAAAGGTGGTAAACTTCGAATGAAGGTCTTGGGGCATCTACAACATGGCTGCCATCTGCTAAAACCCCAGTAGAAGCTGGATCTCTATAAATCTAAGGGAGGCTACTAAAAACAGGAGGGGGCAAGGAGAGATTCAGGAAGACTTCTTGGAAAATTTCACTGTGTCGGGACTTCCTGTGACAACGGGGATGGACTAGAAGAAGATAGTGTGTGGCATTGTGGACAGAACTTCAGGGAGGAGAAGATCCCTCCAGCGCCGCTCCGAACCCCGGGAGGCAGAGGCTGTGGCAGCATAGCCTTGTAGAGCAAGCCCCTCCACTCAGCTCCAAAGCCCCGCTTCTCTTAGGGGAGCAAGCAGAGAATGGAAATTCACTCAGCTTGTCCCACTGGAAGTGTTTGACCCCACAAAGTGGAGGGAGAGGGTGTGTGTAGTTTCATATTTCTGAAGTGCTGGCATAGGTTTTCAAGATACTTCCTGAGCCTCCAAAATAGCTTGAGCAACAAGAATATTTCTGTTTTTCTTTCTCGACAGAAAGCGAAACTACCGACAGCGTGCCTAGTGATGAGGAGAACGCAGAGGTGAGCCGGCTTCCTGTTGCCTCTTGTTTTAAAGCGTGGGTTTTACTTTTGGATCCGTGTGTGTGTGTGTGTGTGTGTGTGTGTGTGTGTGTGTGTGTGTGTGTGTGATGTGAGAGAGAGACAGAGACAGACACAAGACAGTGAATGTACATAACCTTAAAATTTACCGTAGCTTTTTATTCTGAATTGTAAAATGTGGTGCTGAGCGCTGGGTGGGAAGAAAGGAATAAAAGGCGCCCCTCAGAAAGAGAGGTGAATTTGACATGGCTGGAAGAGAAAATGGAAGTCAAGGCCAGGAAATATTGATATTCTTCTGGCTGTAAACATCCTGCTTTGCCAACAGGAATAGAGTGGCCTGCCCAGCCCAAAGCAGTGGGCAGAAGTCAGCATCAGGAACAGCTAGCAAGATTATCTTCACACAGATCAGTCCCCTCCTTGAGTGGTCCTGCAGAGAGCCGGGTGTGTCCAGTCTCCGCTCCCTGCCAACCTGCTTCTAGCGTCTCCTCTGTAGGCCAGGCTCACACAATGGCAGGAAATGGCTTCAGTGTTGATGGGGAGGAAGGGGGGCTGGAGAAGAAGCTGATGTTTGGTTGAATTCCTACTATTCCAAGGTCAGGGATTCTGAGAAGACAGTAGGCATCCATGCTGGCGTATTTTATGATCTGGCTTCTCCAAAGACGTTACCTCCTTTTCTGCCTGGCAGCTGTGAGGCCAGTTGCAGTTCAGAGAATGTGGATCTCAGCCCTATCCACTTAAAAAGCAATCGAAGAGCGTTGGCTGACTGTTCCTAAGCTCTTTACTGTCCTCCTCTGAAAATTCGGGATAACTAATTAGGTTGGGCCATCCACTATGGCTGGAAACTATGCAGCCTGGACACAGGAACCAGAAGCCAAGCTGCCACCTTATTTTGTGTCTTTGCAGAAGAGTCTTGGCCAGATTACTGGGAGATAGCAAATGGGAATTATTTGAAAAGTAAGAGAAGCCATTGCATTGTATGTGGCATTCAATGGAAAGGAAAAGACGGTGTGTGTGTGTGTGTGTGTGTGTGTGTGTGTGTGTGTGTGTGACACACACATTATATATATACATATATATGTGTGTATATATGTATATATATACATATATGTGTGTGTATATATGTGTGTATATATATATATATATATATATATATATACACATATACATATATATATCCTGATTGTTTTCTCTGAAAGGGGAAACCACACTGGCGGAAGAGGAACATTGAAGGCAAACAGTACCTTAGCAACATGGGGACACGGAGCACCTACCTGCTGCCCAGCATGGCGACCTTTGTCACTTCCAGCAAGCCAGATCTGCAGGTCACCATCAAAGAAGAGAGCTGTCCAATGCCTTACAACAGCTCCTGGCCCCCGTTTACAGACCTCTCTCTCCCTGCCCCAGTGACCCCCACACCCAGCAGCAGCCGGCCGGACAGGGAGGCCCGGGCCAGCGTCATCAAGAAGACCTCTGATATCACCCAGGCCCGTGTCAAGAGCTGTTAAGCCTTTGACTCTCTCTGGTGGTTGTTGGGATTTCTTAGCTTTGTGTTGTTGTTTGTTTGTATTTTATTTTTCTCTCTGATACCTATCTTAGACAAATCTAAGGGAAAAAGCCTTGTCAATAGAATATTGATTGCTGTGTCCAACTCCAGGGCTGGGGCTTCTTTTTAAACTCAGGACTCCAGCCCCTTGGTAGATGCATATCTCTAGAACCTGCTGGATCTCCCAAGGCTACTCCCTCAAGTTCATGGACCAACAGCCACACGGGCAGTGGAGGTGCTGCGTTGCCTACGGTCAAGGCCAGCATGGTGGAGTGGATGCCTCAGAACGGACGAGAAAATGTGAACTAGCTGGAATTTTTTATTCTTGTGAATATGTACATAGGGCAGTACTAGCCACGTTGCAGTCTGCTTCTGCACCTTATCTTGAAGCACTTACAATAGGCCTTCTTGTGATCTTGCTCTTCTTCACAGCACACTCGGAGTCCCCTCTGTGCCCATTACCCCACAGCCCACCCCTCACCAGCCCATCCAATCCCAGCCCACTAACCAACCCATCCAATCCCAGCCCACTAACCAACCCCCAACCCATCCAATCCCAGCCCACTACCCATCTTCTCCCTCCCCAACCCATCCAGTCCCAGCCCACTATCCACCCTTCCCTCCCCAACCCATCCAGTCCCAGCCCACCTGGTTCTTTTTCTCCTTTTCTCTCCTAAAGGTAATGTTCCACATATTGGAGGAGGAGGAGGAGGAGGAGGGGAAGAAGAAAATTAGTTTCTCCACAGCTGTCCCATTTTAAGACTGCTTGAAAAAAAATCTTTCTAATCTGCTATGCTTGAACGCCACGCGGTACAAAGGAAAACTGTCATGGAAATATTATGCAAATTCCCAGATTTGAAGACGAAAATACTCTAATTCTAACCAGAGCAAGCTTTTTTATTTTTTATACAGGGGAATATTTTATTCAAGGTAAAATTCTAAATAAAATATAATTGTTTTTTATCTTTTCTACAGCAAATTTATAATTTTAAGATTCCTTTTCTTGTTTATCAGCAGTTGTTATTACATCCTTGTGGCACATTTTTTTTTTAATTTTGTAAAGGTGAAAAAAAAACTTTTATGAGCTCATGTAGCAATGAAATTATCCTGTGGATTGATAATAAATGAATATGATATATAGTTACAATTTTTAATGGGTATCACTCCTGGCTTTATCTGTGTCTGTTTAGAGTGCAATCATGGATCAGGGCTGACAAAAGATTTATTCTTGGAGACCAACAAGCTTTCCTTTGCTGACCATGAGAAACTTAGGACGTTCCTATGGTGAGGCTGCGAATACTTTCCTCTTCCAAATGCGCACTGCACCGAACCCCTGTTGGAATGTCCCACACGTGTTGCCGATCACAGCTGTGCCCAGAAAGGGCGTTTATCACAACTGCACATGGTAGCAGTGGAGACCTGAAATGGAGGCCCTCTGCTCAGGTGACCCATGCAGCACAAGACCAGGATGCTGGCGCCCAACCCTGGAGGATTTCTGGAGGAGTCTATTCCCTAGTCCACAGCTCTCTGCTGTGAGCAGATTCCTCTCATGTCAGTGGTTTTCTGTCCTTATCCATAGACTTAGACATATAACTCAAGTTTGTGTTGTGTTACATATCTGGGCACAGATTAAACACTTAGAAATGAGAAATAGATGTTGTGTTCTACCTTCTGTTCCTCTATCTTCTAAGACCTGGGCTCTTTACATGAAGGCCCTGCTCTTAAAATGTAGGACTTCGAGAACACTGGTCTCTATCACCTACTTGGAATTTGTTTTCTCTCCTTTTGAATTATCCTTATTGCCTTCACATACACGCCTTGGTATTTCAAGGTACAGCCCCGACCTTGAGAAGGTCACCTCCCTTACCGCCCAAGCTTCCTCAGAATACTAAAACTTAGCTGCCTCCCTACCACCTTTAGGGGTTATGAAAAGATTGCTAAGTTAATGTTTGAAAGGTCCTTTCAATTTATGAAAGGACAAAGGGCTCTTTTTAGGTCTATCTCTATGTGTGGCTGCAGATACAACCAGTGGCCATAAAATTATCCTCCCTGAACACAAATCGCCGGAAACACGTTACTGTTGGGTGAGTTTGAAATGTCTCACACAGGTGGCCCGTTGTTTCTTTTCAGAGCACCATTGTAAGGAGTGTTTATTTTCATTCCTTAGGAGTCATACGGTCCTCAGAATATGAGCCCTCCCCTTTGGTAATTTATATTTTAAAATCTCATTAATCACCCTGTTTTTGTTTTGTTTGCAAAACAACAAAAACCCAGTAATAGAAGTTGGCCTTGGCTCACATGGTGATCGGTGGGTCTAGGATAGCGCTGACCTTCTGTCTGCTCTCCCTTCTGTACCATCATCTCCCTGTAGGTCTCAAACGCCATGCCACTGCCTTATTCCATTACTGTGGCAGGAACTAGACAAGGCAGCCAAAGTCAGGATCCAGAGATAATGCCGTTTAGGTGCCCAAGATAATATTCTATTGCCAATGAGACCACAAAAACAGAACGATACTTAAAATATCCCTCCAGACGACTGTTATTTCTAAGTCACACTTGCCTGTAGTAAAGGGAAACGTGAGTTACAAAATGCCTGGGACAGACAAACAAGCCAGATGGACAGCTCAGGAACAGGCGGCCCAGACCTTGTTGTTGTCACTCAGAGGAAGGGCTGGGGACACGTGATTTATTTAGTTGGCCTCTGTGTGTGCTGATATGGTTTTTATGATGGGGCTGGCTGTGGGTGTGTTTAAGTAGCAATGTAACCGCCTTTCAGACAATAGATTCCATTCTCCGGAGGTCACACCCATGACAAAGTTCCTTATACATCTGTGATCTGAGAATTCATTAACACAGTAAGGTAGGGCTCACCAAGCACCTTGATGTGACTGGCTTTCACAGAGCTGTTTGGGTGCCTTTAATAAGTCTGTCTTCAATTATAGCCTTCATTCCCTATTTAGAGGCCGAAGGCAGTGTTTTGTCTATTTGAATTTATTAGGTATACGTGGCGAAGAAGTACAAATCCTTTGGACACCTAAGCCCTAAAACAATCCTTTTTTTTTTTTTTGTTGGTGCTCCCAATGCAAAGGGTACTATCATGTAACCCGCTCCTGAGGTAAAAATTTTAGGAATGAGGAAGATCAATGATTTGGTTTCAGGATTCTGAGTTTTCAAGTTGACGCTTTTCAAAGTATTTTTCCACGTGAATGAAAAAAGTAAGTGTTAAGCCCCAGATGGCCTCTTACCCCTACATCTGAGAGGTGGAACATTAGCCCTTCCATTGGCTAGAGGCTGTCCTTTGAGTGTTGAATTCATTAGGCTTGAAAAGCCCCTTGTCATTTTAGCTTTGGACAAACAGGTCCAGATGAAGGGAGGAAATCAAAACCCAAGACTTCTGCCAAATTTTTCCTGACGACAGACAAAAAACTAGGAAATGGCTGGCAAACAGATAGATGGGTCTCCGGCATGCCGGGGTAGAATATCCAAGGATGCCTTTACGAGTTTGGGCTTTGGAAAGAGTATGGGGGCAGAAGCTGGTTTTAACTAGTTCTATGCAGCCATTTTATCCTGAAACTCCACCTCTTGGTATAACCTAAGGCCAGGATGAATGATCAGAGCCACAGGGATGGGAACCTTACCTGCCAGGGAGCCAGGAGAATGTCACCCCCACTGTGTCCCTGCTGCAGTGGACTCCTCCTCAGGGGTGTCATAGTGTTTTTCTATCTCTCACGAGAGACTGAAAGCCTCTTGAGGTGGTGTCTCCACCACATTCCCATTCTCATAAGTGGCACGAGGAAGATATCTATAGATCATCACTGCAGCATCTCCTATACCATACCCCACCATTCCTAATGTTAAAAGGATAGTGTCGGTCCCCAGCTGTGCCCCTCAGCAATGACTTGGATACCAGCTGCAGACCTGGAAAAGGATCTTGCCATGGTTGTGTAGAGCTCTGGGTGGGAAGATATCAAAAAAGTATGTATCGTGGTAGGGAGGGTTTCTTCCTGAAGCTGACTGGCTTCTGTGCCCCTGCCAACCCTAATGGACACAGAAATAATTCTCTCCAGTGGCTTGGGCATTGCTGGTCCTGCTGTGATCATAAATGAGGGTTCTAAAGAGATCTGCTTCTGTGGCCATTCTAACAACAGGTGCCGAGGCACTGTCTGAAAATAGAGACTGGGAGGAAGGAAGTGGTCAGGCCTGAGAGCTGGTTTTAGCAAAAATGTGAAGTCTGTCCAAGAACTTGGTCATGCTGTGCAAGGATCAGGAGGGGGACCATTTCAGAGGTTACATAGTCTGGGGGTGCAGCTCAGTGATAGAGTGCTTCTCTGACATATGAAGGACCCTGTGCAAGCCCCAGCCTCTTGAAAACCAATAAGTAAACAAATGAGTAAAAAAAAAAAAAAGGTTAAGAATTTCTGTAGTCCGGCAAGACCGCATTCTAGGATCCGTTGGCATGTTTCTTTGGACAGAAAAGCAGAGCATGTGTCCCGAGCCTCTAAGTAAGGATTGGTCACTTTTTCCATATCTACTCTGTAACCATGTTCATAACAGATTGCTGGCTCTGTGGGAAATATGGTGCTGGGTTCTACGAGTGCTCTCAGTTTAAGTCCTTGTACTCACCCCTGAAGAGTCACCGCTGTCCCACTCACTGGTCACACCCAGTGGGTTTGAGTGACACAACCTTTCGTGCAGGTCCAGAAAAAAAAAGTCTGCATCACTAATATCTCTAAATTCCAGTTTTGCTGAGAAGAATATGTTAAAATTGGAACCCCTAACGTGCATCCACACAAACTATCAGAGGGAAAAGACTCCAGATATCTTCCATCTGATTAAAGCTTGGGTCATCTATCTGGGATTGCTCCTGTTGCCCCCGGATCCCCCTATAGCATTCAAAGGCAATTTAAATCCACACATTGTACTGGGGATGTGCCTGAAGTTTCCGGACAATGTAAACAGCTAGTTAAGAGTGATTCCTATGGTTAATGATGAGCCAGGCTTTATCCACTCTGAGCATTAACACTGACAGATAGTCTCTATAGAGCATGCTGTTCTGTCTGCCAGCAATTCCCCTCCAGGGCTGTAAATCCAGTGCTTATCTTCATCTGCAGCATCCTTGCTCTGGGAAGCCCGTACATCATGTTTTTAATGTGACTGTGAAATGCAGAAAGGGGGTTCACAGTCCTGGATCCACAACATTCAGCCTACAGGGAAATTAGAATTTTAGGGGGAAGTGCAAAATACAGCCAAAAGCTAGTGCTCAAATTCTAGCTAGTGACTTTAGGGGTCACATGGCAACCAGGCTATGAGAGGGAAGGAAGCTGCTGGGTGGTTTAGCATGTTTTTAAGTTTCTATTTGCAGGACAGATTTTAAGTGGTGTAATTCTAAGTGATTTTCTTTTAGCAGCTCATGGCTTTAATTTGGTAACTAATGATCTTGTTCTCCCCAGAACTGAGAGGTTCTGTAGGATGGGGAATTCTCACTGCTGAAATTGGGACTGTCTCAGTTACAACCACAGGTTTTAGTTGCCCTGAATATAATGATGAAATCAGAGGACACATGTGTTATGCTCTTCTGAGGATGTTAAAAAATATTTAAGCTTCACAAGAAGGTGTTATTGGACATACATTGTTGATGAGTCTATTACTAATTCATTCATTTAGGTGTAGTGTGTTTATGAAAAGTCATAGACTTCATTCATTCAACACTATCAGTTCCCAGTATGTGTTGGTCTTATGTGTGAAAGCCACACGGAAGTGAATGGAACTTCTTCTAAGACAGCATGCATTCCAGTGGTGAGTGGGTGGGAGCTATTCAACCAATGAATAGTAATCTTTGGGTGACAATAAAGGCCGTGGAGGAAAATAAAATGGGGCAAGAGAGGCGCGCGGGGGGGGGGGGGGGGGGGGGGCAGTGCAGACACTCAAGGCTATCGTGGTGGTGTTTACAGGATCAGTGGCAGGGCTGGCAGTTGCAAAGCTCAGCAGTTAGGGGAAAAGAAGGAAAATGGTTTGTATCAGCAGTGTTCTGTTGCAGGAAGCTCAAACCACAGTAGCTATTTTAAGCACAAAGGCATTGACCAGAGAGAAGCAGGTGCTTGTGTGGGCAAACTGGACAAGCCTCTGAAGGGTTGGTTCCACCTCCATCACCACTGTGGAGGTGGGATGCTAGGAAACATCAACTCTGTGAATGGATTGCATTAGCTTCAATCTCATCAGAGAGTTCCATCTTGTCTCAGCCCACCTCAACTATCCCTTGATACTCATGACTTTAGTAACGGAACCCCGAGCCACTGCGTCAGAAAGTCCCAAGGCTCCCCGTCGTGTATGGGACTGGTTACAGCTGGGTCAGGAAAATGACCTCGGCCTCACTGCTGACTTCCCGTTCTTGCACAGGTTGAGCCTAATTTTGCAGTGAGGGTCTCAGTTGTAAGACTGAGAAATGGGCCTCACTGCTGACTTCCCGTTCTTGCACAGGTTGAGCCTAATTTTGCAGTGAGGGTCTCAGTTGTAAGACTGAGAAATGGGGTTGCAGGTTTCCAGCCATAGCAGCAGAGAAGGGGCAGGTAAGAATGGATGCTCCAGGCTGCTCAGGACCTCTTGACCACCTCAGGAGAGCATGGCAAGAATGCTAAAGGCAACGAGAACAGCCGGA